CCTCACTCAGGAAATACCACACAAAGAAGCTTGGGATCCTCCCATTCACCCATGAACAACAAATATTTGTGTGCAGCAGATGACACACGTGGGCTCTCTCCAGCCAGCTTAACTCTTCTCCTCTGTTACTAAGAAACAGACCTCAGAGAAAATAAGGGCTCTCTCTCTTTCCTTTTGTAAGGCCTTATTACCAACATGAATGTTTCTAATTCCTACACATGAAGTTCTAGACTGAGCTCTGTGTATTATTACATATTTGTCTACTTAAGATTTTACTTCACGTAATTCAAAATTACCCACCAACAGTATAAACACAACTATAGCACTGTAGCACTGTCGTCCCGTTGTTCATCAATTTGCTCAAGCGGGCACCAGTAATGTCTTCATTCGTCCCTATCACGTGCTAGTGTAGCCCAATGGCATCTGCTTGCTCCAGGAACATGAAGTGAGACCTGTTGTTACTGTTTTTGGCATATCAAATACACCACGGGTAGCTTGCCAGGCTCTGCCGTGCGGGCAGGATACTCTTGGTAGCTTGCCGGGCTCTCCAACAGGGATGGAGGAATCGAACCCGGGTTGGCCACATACAAGGAAAACACCCTACCCGCTGTGCTACCACTCAAATATAACTCAAATATAACTATGCCTTGTGAAATTCCTATTTAATTTTCTCTCCTAGTTTGGTCGTTATATGAGCTATATCCTCATCTATTTTTAAAAACAAGGAACTTAGTCCAAAGAAAAACCATCTTCTGCTGTTCTTTCTTGGGTCTCTTATGGTTTTCTAATGCGTGATCCAAAATACAAGTTTTTATTCTTTTCTGCTTGTGGCACTACTTGCTGTTTCTACTTTGGGAATAGATTTTTTCCTTTGGTTTAATTTCTCTTGGTTTTACTTCCTTACCCATATATTTTTTTCTTTTCATCTCTCTCTCTTAAGTACTTATTGTTGTCTGACCTCTGGTGGTTATTATCTGGAAGTCCTCGCTGCTCTTCACATTCTGTATATTGTTCAGTGTGTGACTCCGCCTGCCCACATTACCATTTCTAGAATGACTTACAATTTTCCATCTAATACCTTTCAGTACAGACCCAGAGCCATGTGGAAATCATGATTAATTACAACCACCAAAATAAATGGAACGTACTAGCTTCTTTCTCCAGTTGTTGCTCCTACCATATTTCTATCTCAGTGAAGGGCTCTATTCAGATTTCCAGGCCATTGGTCTGGTACAGGTTCTTCCTGAACTCTCTGAGCTCCTCACCAAATCCTTTTTCTTAGCCCTGAGTTGCACGTGCTCTGGGTGAGAATCTCAATCGCCTCTCAACTGGACTGCTATAGTAGTCTATGCTGATGTGACTGCCTTTCCTTGTCATTTACTTTTCTATATTGCTTGGTGATATTATTTCATCTTTCAATGTTTTGTACGGCAGAGCCTGGCAAGCTCCCCGTGATGTATTCAATATGCCAAACACAGTAACAATAAAGTCTCCAATGGAGACATTACTGGGCCCGCTAGAGCAAATCGATGAACAACGGGAGGACAGTGACAGTGACAGTGACATATGATTTCCTATTTCAGCCTGATGACGTTAAATTCCAATTTCTCAACAAGAACATTTTTCAGAGAAAACCCTATGATATGTTCTCAATTTTTCCACATTTAACTGTAGCACTGTCTTCCTATTGTTCATCGATTTGCTCAAGTGGGCACCAGTAACTTCTCTATTGTGAGACTTCTCATTACTGTTTTTGGCATATCAAATACATCACGGGTAGCTTGCCAGGCTCTGCCGTGTGGGCTGGATACTCTTGGTAGCTTGCCGGGCTCTCTGAGAGGGGCGGAGGAATCGAACCAGGATTGGCCAGGATCAGCCAAAGCAAATGCCCTACCCACTGTGTTACCACTCCAGCCCACATTTAACAAATATAAAAAATTTTATTTAGAAGCTCCAAGAACTTACTTGATTTTAACTCAGAGTTTCTCCCCAAACAGTCCCAACCCTCTTATATTCACAGTAATTCATGGTCACAGCCTGGGGAACACAGATCTGTAAGGCTGACCCTGGAACTTAGCCTCACATACAGATTCTTGATGGGGTATTTTGTACTGAAGTTGGTGGGCCCCACGGGTGGCTCATGTGAAGTGGAGAGGAGAAAGACAGTCACTTTCTCCCAATCTACCTCTGCTACCCGGGACCCAGGGTTACTTGGTTCTTGTCTCGCCTCCCAGAAAGGAATTTCAGGAGTAGACAAGCAGTGAAATTACACAATTTTTATTCAGAGGTTTTAAAGGGAAGAAGGGAGAGAAAGTGGGAGAGAGTGGAGAGTATAGTGCTCAGGAGAGAACCTGGGCATCTCCAAGGGCAGAGAGACCCCTACACATACCCTGGCATTAGACATAAAAACATGAAAGTACACATTTCAAGAGGGGAGATGCCGGAGACACATGTCCTCGGGCACCACATGTGCTAGGCCACATAGGCACAAGCAGCACAAGGGCTAGAGCAGTATATGTGCCGGTCCTTTGTTCAAGGTGATTTATAGGGTTTCTCCAACCTGCCTCCATGTGGGGTTTCTACCTAGACCAAAGTCCGTTGCAAAGCAGGTTACCAGGGGGGTTAAGAGTGGTGATGGTTCCCAAAAGGAGAGAGAGAACAAAAGGGAATGCCCTGCCACAGAGGCAGGGTAGGATGGGGGGAATGGGGGGTGGGAGGGGTACTGGAATCCGTGGTGGTGGGAAATGGGCACTGGTGGAGGGATGGGTATTTGATCATTGTATAATTGAAACCCAAGCACAAAAATTTATAAGTCTACAACTGTACCTCATAGTGTCTCACTAATAAAAATAAATAAATAAATAAATAAATAATTTTTCCCCTTTATTTTATTTTATTTTTTTTTACAGTTGTAGATTTACAATTTTTTGTGCTTTGGTTTCAATTATACAATGATCAGATACCCATCCCTCCACCAGTGCCCATTTTCCACCACCATGGATAATATCCCTCCCACCCCCATCCCCCCATCCCCCCTGTCTCTGTGGCAGGGCAATCCCCTGTGTTCTCTCTCTCCTTTTGGGTGTTGTGGTCTGCAAAAGAGGCATTGAGTGGCAAACATGTTCAGTCCATAGTCTACTTTCGACATGCATCTCCCCTCCTGGGAGGATCCTCCAAACATCCTTTATTTGGTGCTCCCTTCTCTATCTGAACTGCCCTTTCCTCTAGGATACCCGGCTGGCCTCTAAGTTATGGAGTAATCCTCCTGGTGCTGATCTCAGCTATTCTTGGGTATTAATCTCATACTTTGTTACTTTATATCCCCCAGATGAATGCAATCTTTCTATGTCTATCCCTCTCTTTCTGACTCATTTCGCTTAGCATGATACTTTCCATGTTGTACCACTGGTATGTAAATTTCATGACTTCATCTTTTCTAACAGCTACATAGTACTCCATTGTGTAGATGTACCAAAGTTTCTTTAACCAGTCATCTGTTCTTGGGCATTCAGGTTTCTTCCAGTTTCTGGCTATTGTAAAGAGTGCTGCAATGAACAAACAAGTGCAGATGTCACTTCGACTATACATTTTTGCCTTTCTGGGATATATTCCCAGGAGTGGTATTGCTGGGTCAAATGGGAGCTCAATTTCTAATTTTTTGAGAATCGTCCATACTGTTTTCCAGAAGGGCTGAACCAGTGGACATTCCCACCAACAGTGAAGGAGTGTCCCTTTCTCGCCACATCCACGCCAGCATTGGTTGCTTTTGTTCTTTTGAATGTGGGCCAGTCTCTGAGGTGTGAGATGGTATCTCATTGTGGTTTTGATCTGCATCTCCCTGATGATTAATGAAATAAATAATTTTTTAAAAAAAGAGTGGTGATGGTCTTCTTTGAAATTCCTTTCCTGACTTTTGTTTCTGCAGGAACTTTTCTGGGTCTGCTTTTCAGGCCTTAGTTCCTGTTTTTCCTGTTTTCTGCAAGGTTGGTTTTTGCCATTCCTTGGGAGGGGGCCTCCCCTATCCTGCCTACATCAGTACAATGTCCCATTTCTCCACACTGGATGTTGGGCTCATCATCTCAGTGGCCAAACCTACCAGCCCCCTGGGGTCCCTCACGCACCATATCTTAGAGAAGACTATACTCCTATCTTGTACACGTGACACGTTCCTAATCATCTTTTAGTTCAAGACATGCCTTACACTCATTTCATTTTTCAAATTGTATTTTGTATCAATTTTAAATTATAGATTGATTCATACTCACTGATAACTTAAACTATTAAAATGATTATTAAACTCACTTGTAATTTCATGTGCCAGATATAGAAACCCACTGACATTTTAATGTTTTCCTCAATCTTGTTTCAGCATATAGTGCGGTACCAGCATACCTAACAATGAGATTGTGTTTAAAGGTTTTTTTTTTTGTTTGGGATGATATTTTTATAAGTTTTTTTTTTGCTTTTCATTTTTTTTTCTTACCATAAGCTTACCCTGATGCTATTAAATAATATTTGGAGACAAATTTTTTAAAGGAAGGGTGCATTCTTCTCTATAGCAGAGCTATAACATAACCATAATCTTATTTTTGAGCCGTCAAATATCTAATGATTTCCTTATGCTATGCTGAGTATACTTTCCCATGAATACTTGTTTACACTTTCCTTTTTTCTTTAAGTGAAAATTACTGCTCAAAAAAATATAGCTCATTCTTTAAACTTCCCTGGTTCTCTTAGGTATAGTTTGTGTTCACTTATGATTCTCCCATGTTTTACTAATACTTCTTTTACATAGCAGCACAGTATGGTTTCTTTTTTTGGTTATCTGCTTCTCTCGCTATTAAAAATTAGGCTTCCAGAAGATAGGGACTGTTGTCTTTCAGTTTGTTATATACTCAGAATCAACATCACTACTGAATAGATGAATTAATTATTCTTATTTACCATTTTAGATAACTACAGCATGTATAATTACATTTATGTTTATGCTTTTCTAACAGGATGGTGTTTCGAGTGCAATTAATCATTTTCAAAACACTGTGTTATCAGTTCCTAATCTTGTGCCAGATACATATTTTGATGCTTTCACCAGCCCTTATATTAACAACAAGATTGAGGAAAAAACCTGTGGAACTGGTCCAAGCTTATCATCAATATTAGAGGACGATAGAAATTTTCACACAATTGTCCTTCAAATAAAGGTATATTTGTTCTCACTAAACAAAAATTTTATAACATTCTCTATTTTTTAGTAATGATGTGTTTTCTTCTTTTAAATTGAATTCTGTATATTGTACATGAAGAAATAAAACATGGAAGAGACAGAAACAAATGAGGACCAACCACTGGTCTTTGATTGCAAAACTGAGAGTGCCAAATACTAGGAAAAAGTGGCGAGGAGAAACAATGAAGTGGTCTAGTGACATAAAGACATAGGAGGAAGGTCTGAAAGTCTGGAGATATAGTACAGTGGGTAGGGTGCTTGCCTTGCATGTGGCTGACCTGGGTTTGATCCCTGGTACCCCATATGGTCCCTCAAGTACCACCAGGAGTGACCCCTGAGCATCACCAGATGTGGCCCTCAACCCCCTCCCCCTACAAAAAAATGGCTCAGAGACATTTTGGTTGTGATATTTTCATCAAAACATGAAACACCATTGCAATAATAATACCTAAACTACAATTTAAAATAATCATAAATAAAGTGGATGATGCTAATCTCTGTATGATAAAAAAAATTAATAATATCATTTGTTCCTTAAAAATAGTTCTGAAAGTCATAATTTTTCAGCTTCAGAGACATGCAGTTGACAAAATGATAAGATATTTAAAGTATATAACATTATGACTATATATATACTGTGAAAGAATTTCCCTCATTGATTTCATTAATACATCTCTCATCTTTTGACCTTTTTAATACATTAATTCATTTAATACATCTCCCATATTTTGACCTTTTTCTCTCCTCTGATGAGAGTATTTAGAATCTTATTTAGATTCTACTCAGTAGAAAATTTAAAACATATATCAGGGCTGGAGCGATGGCACAGCGGGTAGGCTGTTTGCCTTGAACATGGCCGACCCGGGTTCGATTCCTCCACCCCTCTCAGAGAGCCCAGCAAGCTAACAAGAAGTATCCCGCATGCACGGCAAAGCCTGGCAAGTTACCCGTGATGTATTCGATATGCCAAAAACATTAACAACAAGTCTCACAATGGAGACGTTACTAGGCCCGCTTGAGCAAATCGATTAGTGTTATCACATTGGTCACCATATTAAGCCTCATTCGTCTTAGAATTGAAAGTTTGGGGTGAGGATGAGGGAAGAAAATACCAGGTGATACTCAGGAGCTACTACTAGCTCTGTGCTGTTTCTGGTGGTATTTGGGGTTGTATAATAGGTTCCAGGAATGAAACTTTGGCCTCCTATATGCAGAGTATACACTCAGCCCATTGAGATACCTCTTCAGCCTGAACATATAGATTTAACTAAGAGAATACATTAACTACTCCTGACATTAAGGGTGATGTCTTCTCTCATATATCCCTAAGGCAAAGCAGAGTGTTGGCAGAGAGAGGCATTTATGTTTGCTTGTTTGTTTTGTTATAGTGAATATTGTTCTGCTTAGAAAAAAATGATAATTTTTTCTGTTTATAACTTTTAGGAAACTATACACGCAGCATTCGAATCTGCACAATTATATGCGTCTTTGTTTGAAAGATTTCAGATATTTTTCAAGGAAAATGAGGGTCTTGATTTACAAGCTCTTAAACTTCAAGAACCTGGTAAGTTTTCCAGTTGTCCTTACTAATTATTTGTTATAGGCATATCAAGGTTTTTAGTCTTCTGGTTTTCTGTTTGATAACAGAAATTGTAGCCACCACCCTCCTCCAACCCTGCCCCCCCCCGTTCCCCAATAAGAAAAACCTGACCTGAAGAAGGCAACAGTTTTTTTTCTAGCTTATTTTCTGTAAAATTACTTTTAAATTTAGGATTAGTCCATGTTATTGTTTTCTATAAGTACAGTATGGGAATCAATTCCTTCCAGTGGCTTCTTTTACCTTGAGCTTATGTCAGTTCTAAGACTATGTAGCCTGTCTTTGGAAAGGTAGCACTGTAGCACTGTCCTCCCGTTGCTCATCGATTTGCTGGAGCAGGCCCAGTAACGTCTTCTTGTTGTTACTGTGTTTGGCATATCAAATATGTCACAGGGAGCTTGCCAGGCTTTGCTGTGAGGGCAAGATACTCTCGGTAGCTTGTCAGGCTCTCCGAGAGGGGCAGAGGAATTGAACCTGGGTCGGCCGGGCCTGCCGCGTGCAAGGCAAACTCCCTACAACTGTGCTATCGCTCCAGTCTGGCAGGCTAACCTTGACGTATTTGGTATGCCAAAAACATTAACAAGGCTCACAGTTCTACAGTGCTACAGTGTTAAAATTGGAAGGATATCTTTAAATAATGTTTATGTGTTTTTCTCTCTTGTTAATTCAAATTACACTTCACATACCAGATGTATGGATGAACAGCTTTTTTAAAAAATTTTTATAAGTGAAACACCATGAGGTACAGTTGTAGACTTACAAATTTTTGTGCTTGGGTTTCAATTATACAATGATCGAGTACCCCTCCCTCCACCAGTGCCCATTCTTCACCATCACTGATCCTAGTATCAATACCTCCCACCCCCCTTCCTCCTATCCCACCCTGCCACTGTGGCAGGGCATTCCCTTTTGTTCTCTCTCTCCTTTTGGGTGCTATGGTTTGCAAAAGAGGCATTGAGTAGAAATCATGTTCAGTCTATAGTCTACTTACAGCATGCTTCTCCCATCCTAGGAGGATCCTCCCAACACCCTTTATTCGGTGCTCCCTTCTCTATCTGAGCTGCCTTTTCCCCTAGCATGTGCCTCTGACCTCCAAGCCATGGAGTAAACCTCCTGGTACTTATCTCGGCTATTCTTGGGTGTTAGTCTCCTATTTTGTTACTTTATGTTCCCCAGATGAATGCAATCTTTCTATGCCTGTCCCTCTTTCTGACTCATTTTGCTTAGCATGATACTATCCATATAGTACCACGCATATGTAAATTTCATGACTTCATCTTTTCTAACAGCTACATAATACTCCATTGTGTAAATGTACCAAAGTTTCTTTAACCAGTCACCTGTTCTCGGGCACTCAGGTTTTTTCCAGATTCTGGCTATTGTAAAGAGTGCTGCAATAAACAGACAATTGCAGATGTCACTTCGGCTATACTTTCTTGCCTCTCTGGGATATATTCCCAGGAGTGGTATTGCTGGGTCAAATGGGAGCTCAATTTCTAATTTTTTGAGAATCGTCCATACTGTTTTCCAAAAGGGCTGAACCAGTTAGCATTCCCACCAGCAGTGGAGGAGGGTCCCTTTCTCGCCACATCTGTGCCAACACCGGTTGCTTTTTGAACAGCTTTTTAGTCATTAATTTAGCCTTTTAATTAACATCACAAAAAGGGGAATTAAAAATAAATTAATTAATCAAAAGAGGAATTATATTTTTTTACTTTTTTTATTGAATCACTGAGATAGACCATTACAAAGCTGTTCATCATTGGATTTCAGTCATACTGTGTTCCAACACTCATTCCTCTACCAGTGTACATTTCCCAGCACCAGTGTCCCCAGGTTCCCCCCCATCATCACCCACCCCTACCCCCTGCCTGCCTACCTCTATGGCAGGTGCTTTTCTACTCTCTCTCTGTCTCTCTGTCTCTGTCTCTCTCTCCCCTCCGCTTTCTGGGCATTGTGGTTTGCAATATTGATACTAAGAGGTTATCAAGTATATCAAAAGGGAATTATATCACAAAGCTTATCTATAACAAATTAATGTACATATCTGTATAATTCTCTGGGGTAGCCAGGGGGAGGCTCGACGGCTCTTCCCCTAGCTGCCTGGGTTCGGTGGACGAAATGAGGGCCAAGCTGGTTGATTGGTCAGATGCCGTTTATTCCATTCTCCCCAAGTGCCTGCCCCTGTCTCTCTGAGCCTCCCATTATAGTCTCACGCTGCCCTTCATTCCCGTCTCCTCCTGTCTCTCCCGCTCATCACTGGCGCTTCATCTTGCAGCCTGGGCTCCCTCTCTCTCCATGTGCCTGCTCCTGTATTCTTCTACATTCTTCTCCCTCTGTCCCCCTTGCTAGCCTCTCCATGTTCCATCTTGTCACCCTGCTCTCTCTCTCATCTCTCATCTCTCCAGCTCTCACTCCAACTCCACAGCATCTTGGCTGACACTGCATCCAATCAGGTAGCAATATCAACATAAGAAAGCCCTTCCTGAGGGCCCACCAGGTTCAAAGGAAACACCACCCAGGGTATTCCAAAGCCCTTCCTGACTGCCCAAAGGCACCTCCTAAGGTGTTTTTCTCTTTCCCTTAGTTCAAAAACTTTATAAACATCTTAATACTAGGTATTTCTGTATGGACACAGTAAGAGATACACTGAGGCTTGTAGGGCAGCTCTCCTGGGAACATTTTGCCACAGACTCAGACTACAGAGCTCAGGCCAGATTAATCTTTCCTAACCCCAGCAGGGTCCGAATCTCATTATTACTTTTTGGATCATGACAGCATTTGTCTATGACCAAGCTCTTAACTTATAGTTAAGCATTATGGCACTTTGGCCAGGCCCATCTCAATGCCAGGGTAGCACATCACTTACAGCTTGCTCTGATTCCATCCATTTTCTCGTCGGGACTCTGCCTTTGGGGGTGCTAGGAAGTAAGGTCCAGAGAACAGATTCCCAGGAGGAAAATATCACTGAGAGTCATGTTACAAAAGCATACATATACTGTCTTCTTGTGTCCATACCAAAGGGACATTGCTCTGAATAAACTATGCAAAGGACTTAGGAAGAAGAGCAAAACAATATTTACAAGTCAACAGAGCACAAAGAAAGAAGTTACAAATAAACACAGAGGAATGAGAGCACTGTGATGGGAGCAACCCAATAAACCTAAGCTACTTGAGGCTATGCAGGAAGGACAGAACAATGTTATCCAACACATATCCAATAAAGAACTTGCTGTGATTATGAAAATGAAGTGTATATTATTACTATCTTACAATGTAAATAATGCACTCTATGTACTTATTTTATAAAATGAACATACTGCTTTTATACCTGTATGACTCATTTTACTAATGAGGAAATGAAACCAGATAGAAGTTGACTTCGAGATTGTGTGGCTAGTAAGTGGTGCTTAGAAATTTGTCTCTGCCTTGAAAGGTGCTTATTAATGTCACAGATTTTTGTATGTTATTTTGTGGTTTGACATATAATATATTCACCTATTGTTTCTAACATTTTGGGTGGAGTCTTTAGGTTTTCATGTTTACTCCATGAAAGATATAGTAAGTAGTCCGAATGAGCATTTTCAAGTTATGCAAGGTGTTCTGCGTATAGAAGATAACATTATAAACAAATAAATTGATATATTGATTTTGATATAGTTTTGAAATCTTTCTGTAAAATCTAATAGGATATATTTTGTGTTTTAAATTATTTTGTGTAGATGTTAGATTCTTTAGTGAACAACTGGACAAATATCACAAACAACACAAAGATGCAGTAGCTCTCAGACCCATGAGAAATGTAGGACTACTGCTCATCGACACTAAACAGCTGAAGGAAAAACTAATTCCCTCTCCCTTGCGATGCTTGGAGGTAACTATAAACTTCGGAAAAATCTAATTATGGTAGCTACAATTATTTAAAAATATTTTCTACTTCGAATATATTCCCTTTTTTCTAATTTTAAATTAACACTACTAGACATCCTAAATATCTAGGAAAATCTCCATAGCATTCTTTTTTATATTAATAGGATTTATTTTCCATATACATTATCTCTCTAATGAAATATTTCTCACAAACATTAAATTGATATGATTTTTCTGTGTGCCATAAATGCTTAGTTTCTGATTCCTTATATTTTTTTCCTCATTTCTTTTTGTCTTTTTGTTTTGTTTTATTGCTCGAGCAGGCCCAGTAACGTCTCCATTGGAGACTTTGTTGTTACTGTGTCTGGCATATCGAATACTCTCGGTAGCTTGCCGGGCTCTCCGAGAGGGGCGGAGAAATCGAACTCGGGTCGACTATGTTGGCTGCGTGCAAGGCAGACGCCCTACCCGCTGTGCTAAAGTTATTCATGTTTGAGATTCAGGTGTACAATGTTTCAACACCAATTCCTTCACCAGTGTCCACTTCTTTGATCCCAGTTTCCCTCCAGCCCTGCCTCTAAGGCAGACACTTTCTCTTCCTCCAGCTTTAAGCATAGTGAAAGATAGAGAAATTGGGATTCTGAAGTCAAAGATACACGTTTCACACCTTAAACCAATCACATTGGCCAAAGGAAGCCAGGCTCATATATGCCTACTAATCACACTCCATCTTCGTTCCTGAAAAAAGAGCTCAATTTTCCCCCAAACTTCTAAGCTACCATCCAGTATAAAAGAATTGAAATTGATTTGAGCAGGCTCCACAATGTATGCTGCGTATGACAAAGTTGCAGAAAAGGTCCTTTCAAACTACCAAAGTATTTAATCCAATTTTTAAATAAACTTTCCTGTACCTATTTTGTTCTTTGAATAGTCTATAGAAATTGCCTTTCTTGCAGCTTCCTTTAATCCACCAGGAGGTTGAATCAAATATTCGAACATGGCTGCTCTCTATAACCACGTGACATTTTCTTTTCTTCCCTAGGTGCTAAATTTTATGCTTCCCCGCCTAAGCAAGAGAAAAGTAGATTCCATTATTTCTGAGGCACAAGATGCAGAGTATAAACTTGAGTTTGTTCCAAGTACCACCATAGAATATGTTAACAGCTTGGTATTTCTTGATGAAATTCAGGACAGGGTGAGTAGATGAGTAGATTGTCTTGTGGAAAATAATACAAAATCTGGACTATGCTTACTCTGAGAATAGGAAGATGAACAAGCCTGTTATAAAGAGACCTATTTTATGGTTTAAAATGTTAGACACTTTTTTTTTTTTTTGCTTTTTGGGACATACCTGGTGATGCACAGAGGTTCCTACTGGCTCTGCACTCAGGAATTACTCCTGGCGGTGTTCAGAGTACCATATGGGATGCTGGGAATTCAAACCGGTTCGGCCTTGTGCAAGGCAAACGCTCTACCGCTGTGCTATCACTCCAGCCCCCTAAAATGTTAGACACTTTTGATTGAAAGTAATACAAGATTTGCATAGCTTAAAAAAATGAGATTTATTCTAACTTTTTAGGAATATCAAGGAATTCACAGGCCTGGGTAGAATCTAGCCTTTAAAAACGATAGGGAACAGGGACTATCTCTTGTCTTTACCCGTCTCTAGATCATAGATTCTCAGGTGTGATGCCCAAAATAGCTCATTATTATCACTGGGGACCTCGTTAGAAACGCTTGTTGATTGGCCCCACCAGGATTCTCTAATAGTCCTGAGCACAATCTTTGCTTTAACAAGCTTTCCAGTGTGAAGGTGGTACAACTAACAGTTGAGAGAAGCCTTGTTACAGTTACTTCTCAATGTTAAAGGCCTCCTTTCTGCTATCATGTGAACACAAATGATCTTTAATAACAGCTATATATCATGCCCAGAAGGATGATAAGACTGAGTTAGGTTTGCTGGGCATCACTTGATGTTGTTTGGTCTCTTGTGACCAGGAGGTTGGATCAAATATTCGAACATGGCTGCTCTCACAAGGTGGGTTCTGATGGTTCCCTCCAGTTCTAAAGAGTCATATCCAGAAAATTAGGAAAAACACTTTTTTCTGATGAGAACAGGTCACCAAACTGAAGATATGCTTAGTCTTCAGCTAGAAATAGTGAGTTTTCTTATTAAAAGATAATGGGAATGGGGCCAGAGAAAGTACAGCAGGCAGGGCACTTGTCTTGCCTGCAGCTTTCCCGGGTTCAATCCCCAGCACCTCCTATGGTTCTCCAAGTCCCACCAAGAGTGATCTCAGAGTGCAGTCAGGAGTAAACCCCAAACACCACTGGGTGAGCCCCCAAACAAAATTAAAAATAATGGGGTTTATATAGCCTGTCCACACCGTGGGGTCCTCCCTGGGATAGTGCTCAGCACACATAAACCAGAAGTTCAGGCAGCTCAGACAATACAACTAAGCTTTCTTGCAGCACATGTCTCTAACATGTAATATTGGGACCATTTAATGCTGTTAGAGAACAAGAGAAACAAAAAACAGACATTTATAAATTAATACATTATTCTAACCGTGCTCAGCTCCAAGCAGTGTATCTCCTGGGACAGTTTGATAGCAACATTCATTATATCTGTGTTCTAGCTGTGACTGTGTTTCTTGATAATAACATTAATGGTCTTCTCACGTGCTGGCCGTTCAGCAGTGTGATGATCACGGCTCACAGAGGCCAGCTCCTATTAGACCCACATTAAGGGCTGGAATAGAACTTAGATGTATGTAGCAAGCAATCATTGTTCCTTTTTCAGATTGAAAGCCTCGAAGATGAAGGGAATATAGTGATTCAGATGTATAAGCTCATTGAGCAATATCAGATCCCCACACCTCCTGAAGACTTTGCAGTTTTTGCAACTATGAAGCCATCCATTGTTGCTGTTCGAAACGCCATTGATAAGTCCGTGGGTGACAGAGAAACAAGAATTAAGCAATTCTGCGTACACTTAGGTAGAGATCTTGAAGATCTAAATAATGAAGTGAATGAAGTAATGCTGCTAGCACAGGTATGCCAAAATAGCATTTAATTATTTAGGGAGAATGTTTAAACTTGACTTGGTTTTTGTTTTTAAAGGCTTTATTCTAACTAGTTAACAATGCTTTTGAGCTGCTATTTTAAGTTTTGAGTGTTTCTGAACTTCTCTTTTAAGTATTGAGTAAATTTCAGACAATTGTAAGTTCATTATATGTTTATTATTGAATTATCCTGCTTGTATTTGTTATTTTGAAATGAATGACTTTTATAATCTGTTCACATAGCTTTATTTTTTTTGTTACCTTTTTTCCATTTTTATTGTAATTTTCCTCCCACCTACTTCTTTTTGTTGTTGTTGTTGTTTTTTAATTTATTTATTTATTTATTTATTGAATCACTGTGGGAATGGTTACAAAGCTTTCAGGTTTAGGTCTCAGTCATGCAAATATCAAACACATTTCCCTTTACCAATACTTATTTTTTACCATGAAGAACCCCAATAAAACCCCACCCCCACCCCTCCCAGTCCCTGTGAGGCAGATGAATTCTAGTTAACACTCTATCTGCTTTGATTAGATTCATTGTTTCAATAAAAGATTCACCACTATTATTTAGAGTTTACCCCCCCCCCAAATCAGACATGCTGAAAAAGCATTGTGAAGTGATTTGCTTTCTACAGCTGGGTTCAAGAATTAAATGTTGGTTTTGGATTTCTGCTATTTTACCTATTGACCCTGGAAGTATTTCTACTGAAAGTCAGATAGTTAAGAAATTGGTTTCTGTGTTCTGGAGTCGTGGCCATGCTGGAGAGCCGCTCGCGGGGGGCAACTGTTGACCTCGGTAGGGCGTGAAGGACGGACCGGAACGCCCCCCTTCCCATGAGGTTTTAGTCGCCCCCACACTCCCGGCTCATACCTGCTGTCCACAAGGCTCCCATGCAGCCACCATCCTTCTTTCCAGAGAAGAGAGGGCAAATGGGGCAACACCTTTTCCCCTCCGGCAAACCTGATGGCCTGGATTAACGCATAGTCCTTTCACTTTTCTGCTCCAAGCTGCTGGGTTCTGCATTAAGTCCTTGTGCTTCTGGGGCTGTGGCCGTGTTCACATATCTTTATAGCTACTGTAACAATTTTGAAGTTTGCCTAGCCACATATTAAAAAGAGGCAGGGTAAAAAATATAATAGCAAAATAAAAGAGGAAAAGTGTTTGGTAAATGATAATGAAAGTCATCTACAATTGTACTATATCAAATATACAGGGGGAAGTTTTTAAGAAACTGAAGCATGCTTGATAATGAGATTTTAATAGAGCATTATTTTATTAGTTAAAATAATTAAGTCTTATAAGACTAAAACTGCATAAATAATCAGATTATTAAAATCTGATGTTGTTAAATTTCAACAGAAGAGTAATAAAGTAATAGCCATAAACAGAAGAGTAATAAGGTGTATTTAGGTTTTAATGAATTCAGTGTAGACACTGAAGATTATATTAATGTATTTTGACAAAGTAATGTAAAAGTAGTCAAAATTTATTATCTATTTATTACATTTTCAAGTCTTATTCTAAAAACAGGACATTGTTTTTGCTTTTGAAGTATTTTTGAATTTTCTCATAGACAAATTTGTGCATTCCTGTTATTTAAATAAAATTTAGTGAGTTATCAGAAAGTGCTGTATGTAACAGAACCAAACCATTATTGGTTCTCTTAGTACCCACCATAATCCTTAACCTTTCTTCTGCTCTAAAGGCAGTTACTGACCTGAATTCTAATACCATAGATAACGGGATCAGAGACTGCTTTATAAAATATATAATTACATTCCTGATATTTACCCATGTTGTTTGTGATTATAGCTTATCCATATTCATTAATATATGTGAATTCATTGTATACCTCAATTGAATTACCTTGTTCCATGGTTGAGGTACATTTGGACTGGTCATGGTTAATAATGTTTCTTGGATTTTTCTTATATACTTGTGTGTTTTAACTCATTTTATTCTCAAAAACCTCTAAGATTTTATTTTTCACATTTTTGTAGAGAGAAAATCCTAGAGGCAGGTAGATTAATAAACTTCCTCAGTGTCACATAAATAATAATGAAGGATTTAACCTTTATGCTTAACAGTCTGCCATTAAGTGCTAAACTATACACTGCGTCCTAGACATAGAAGGTAAAGGTAAAGGTAAAGGCCCTCCCGTTGATCATGGATTTGCTCGAGCGGGCCCAGTAACGTCTCCATTGGAGACTTTGTTGTTACTGTGTTTGGCATATCGAATACATCACGGGGAGCTTGCCAGGCTCTGCCGTGCGGGCGAGATACTCTCGGTAGCTTGCCGGGCTCTCCGAGAGGGGCAGAGGAATCGAACTCGGGTCGGCCATGTTGGCTGCGTGCAAGGCAAATACCCTACCGCAAAACCATTAAAATATGAACAGTTACTCAAAATAAATGGCTCTATGTATTACTGGAGAAGGAAAAGTGCCAGCAATTGTAACCTAACTTTTTTAATCATGTGATGCACATACTAAAATATATTAACAAAATAAAGCACTCCAGTGAGTGCTTTATCTCTAGATACTGGTAATTAATTTATATCATTCGAGCAAAATCCTGCAGCCAATATTTCTATAACTGATAGCATTCTTGTTAATTTGGGGCAGGGGAGAGAAAAAACTAAATGTAACAATGATAGCTCAACTTATTTCAATTTGAAAATGTATGTCATTCAAACTCCATCTTTTTTTGATAGACTCTCATTCAGTTCAAAATCTGAAATACATGTTGGGCATTTTTCCCCCTGCCACCATCCTTTCCCACCTCTTGTCTCAGAAGTGTATTCTCTGGTGAATGGAGGTGGGGAAGCACCCAGTACTTAAGTTGCCCCAGACCACTGGATTTTCAGTGCAGTTCAGTGTCTTGTGGGTCACCCTGCTAAACCATGTTGCTATAATTGTTTCTTTCTGCCAAGATCTACAGCTAAAGGTAATCTGTGGGTTTTTTTTTTTTTTACTTCCTGACCTCAGTCTTCTACTTTTTTCTTGCTGCTAGAATAGAGCACATGAGTTTCTGAAGAAGCCCATATTCTCTCGAGGGATTATCTTATTTTACCTGCCTTTATTTCCCATTAAACTTTGAATACTAAAAAAAAAAAGTCAGAGATCATGAACCCTTGTAAGTGCTACCAACCCATATGGCACCAAAGGCACTTCTCACTTCTCTGCCTGGACACATCCCTGCTTTTTCTAATCTAGAGCAACTTCCCTCAACCATCTTGGACCTGTGGACCATTCCATAGACCTGTAGTTACAACCAAGGCAGTAAGCAGGTGATTTTCAGCCTTTATACAGCTGTAGACCAGCAGCGGCCTTGGACTACTGCTTGAAGGACACTTATTTGCCAATAAGATGCAGAGCCATGCTGTGGCCGTGATTAGCCTAAACAAGCAATGGCTATATCAGTTAGGCAGTTTTTTTCATTTTCTAAGATTCTTCACAACCTAGTTAGACGTTCCAACTTTGCTTCTGAACTTTCCCATTCCCATTCAGTCTCAACCCCCTAGAGGTCATCCAAAAACTTTCGTCTGATCATTTATTCTTTGATTAGCAGGAGGGCGGGGGGGGGGGGCTTCCAAGAGGTGTTGAGGGTGTTGAGGTTATACAGGGACCACTCCCTCTACCTTGCCCAGTTAATTCAATGTTCACCTGTGAAATAGGCAGGTGCTATATGAGCCAAGGGTGGAGGCCTACCAGGCCATACCTGGCAGTACTTGGTGGCCTCCAGGCCTCTGTCCTGCAGTCATCAAGGGGCCACACAGTGCTGGGGATTGATTCAAGGGCCATGCATGTCAGGCATATGCTCTATCCAGCCCTTTGAGCTAGTTCCCTGGCCCTGTTCATTTTTTTTTCTGTTTTCTCTCTCCCTTCCTATCAGAAATCAAAGAGATTTTTATTTCCTTAATGTTAAAATGGGAATTATCCTTAGATCATGTCATCTTCATTCTTTTCCATATTACGTTCTGTTTATGTCTGGTCATATTTTTTGAAGAAATATAGGAAATTACAATGATGAAGGATAATATATTATTATTTTTAAAATAATGTTATCTTCCTTATGTGTCTATATTTTACAATGTTTGTGTACTGTTTACTTTTTATTTCTAAAAATCAATCATTTTCTAAAAGGCAGAGTGAAAATAACGTGAGAAAAATGTTAAATATTAATTTTTTTGATTTAATATTCCAAATCAAAAATCAGGAATGACTAATCAAAAACTATCTTGATTTTATAGGATCCACAGATTTTGGATATTTCTGCTGATCCAGAGAAGATAAAGCTTATGTTAAATGAGCTACAGTTGGTTCTAGATGATCTTCAAAAACGTGCATTTCAATATAAATCCTATCAGAAGAATTTTAAGGTAACGATATCTCTATACATATATATTTTAAACATATGCATAGAAATATTATTTATGTACCATCTTTTATGTACCCTCTATACAATGTGAGTATAAACACTAAACCTTTTGATATGTGTATGCTGGTTTTTGCTGGACAAGTTTGAGAACTAAAAACAAACAACAAAAAAAAAACATGATATGTTCCCTGCTTTTGAAGTGTTTATTAAAGATACGCACCCCTATGATACAAAATTGTCTTTCTTATTAAAAAATATTTGGAAATTACAGGTAAATTCTCAGATCAGAGACTCACGTTTCTATGTTTAAAATTATATGTAAACATTTCAGTGTAGCATTAAAAAGTCTATTCCAAGTCAGATGTAAAAAAAAATATATCATATGCTATAGTTCTATGAATGCTGACTGATTTTCTTTGGCTTGAAATGCCAGTTTGATGAAAAATAAAATTTGACTTAAGCTACATGGATTCAAGAGAGTAAGTTGGAAGTCTGAAAGATGTGCCTCAAAAAAATGAAAATAGGGGAGCTGGAGTGATAGCACAGTGGGTAGGGCATTTGCCTTGCACGTGGCCGATCCTGGTTCAATTCCTAGCATCCCATATGGTCCCCCAAGCACTGCCAGGAGTAATTCCTGAGTATATGAGTGTAGGAGCATCGCTGGGTGTGACCAAAAAAGAAAAAAAAATAAGTGGGTACCGAAGGTCAGTTCTCTGAGCAATGATTAAGATTAAAAAGAAAATAAAAAACGGATATGTAGGATCAAAACTGGGGGCTACAGGAAGTAAGGGGTTTTTGTTTGCTCTCCAAAAGTCTTGGAGAGAAGATCGGAGCCTCACAGGAGAAAATTCCTCTCGCAGAGCCCCAGGTGAGTAAAGGAGCAGCTGCCCGGGCCAGTCGACTCTGCCCAGCACGTGCAACATAACGAGCACAGCGCCAAGCAGGGACTGCTGCAAAACCTGAGGCAGGAGGTTTGCACGTGGGAGAATTACCATTTAAAGCTGCTCCCAGATGGAGTAAATTGACCTACAAAATAAAAAGTATACATTGGGAAGGGAGACATGAGGGAAACTTTACTTGCCAAAAAAACTTCTGCTGACAAGTACTCCTTGGTCAGAAAGCATAGCACTGGGGTCCAAGAGATAGGACAGCCGCCACAGCACTTGCATCACATGTGACTGAGTCTCATGGAATCCCCAGCACCACTTATGGCTCCCGAGCACTGTCAGGAATCATCCCTGAGCTTAGCGAGGTGCTGAGAGGGGAATAACAGTGTGTTCTCTCCTCCCACGTTACTTGATCACTTTTTCCTGAATGAATTGCCTTCAATCAAGCTTTCTTCTATAGCTTTGGTGCATTTGGGGGATAGGAATAAAGATATAACTTGCCCAGAAAATTATTTCAAATTGTTGCCAAAGACGAGCTATCCTTACAGCGGGCTTTGCCATCGTGCTGGCCTCATAAAATGAGTTTAGAAGACTTCCTTCCTCTTTATTTATTTTTTCAAGTTTAAGACATATTGGCTTTCTTAAACTTTTAACAATTTTTTTTTTTAGTATGTTGGGTCACACCCGGCAATGCGCAGGTTATACCTGGCTCTTCACTAAGGAATTACTCCTGACGGTGCTCAGGGGACCATATAAGATGCTGGGAATCGAACCTGTGTCGGCCCCGCATGCAAGGCAAATGCCCAACCTGCTGTTCTATCGCTCCAGCCCCTTAAACTTTTAACAGTTTTAATTAGAAATTTTTAAAAAAAATTTTTTTTGTTAGGAATCACCAGTAAAATCATCAGACCCTGGGGTTTTCTGTATGGGAAAGGTGAATTTTTTTTGTTATAAATTCAATTTCTTCTTTGATTATTAGTTTATTCACATTTTCTGTTTTTGACAAAATTTGTTTTCAGAGTTTGTATGTTTTGAGGAATTTTGGGGGGACATAATTTTCATAGTCTCTAATAATCAGGTGTTTTTGTAGTACCTAGTATAATGTATCCTCTTTAATTCCTGATTTTATCTGTCTTCTGTATTTTTCCTAATTTAACAAAACCTTTGTTGATTTAACCTTTTGAAAAACACAGCTTTTAGTTTCATTGATCTTTTATATTGTTTTTCTTGTCTCATTTCTCTTCTTTGTTTTTTTTTTTTTTTAACTCCTGCTAACCTTGGACTTATGTTTTTCCTTTTTTTCTGTTTGCTTCAGCTGTGAGGTCAAGTTGATTATTTGGGATCTTTTAGTTTTTTGTTTTTGTTTTTGTGCCTCCTCCCAGTGGTGCTTAGGGCTTATTCCTGACTCTGCACTCAGGAATCTTTGGTGAACTCAAGAATCACGAATCACGACCATCCTGTTATTCGTCGATTTCCTCGAGCAGGCCCCAGTAGCGTCTCCTTCATCTTAGCCCTGAGATTTTTAAGAAAGTGCTATATTCAAGGCTCTTTAGGAGAATGAGACCCATCATTGTTACTGGTATTTGGCATATTGGGTATGCCACAGGAAGTTTGCCAGACTCTGCCGTGTGGGCAGGTTACATTCGGTAGCTGGCCAGTTTGTCCAAAGTAGGAATTAGATAATAAAATGTCATAATAAGATGTTGCGCGGCTGCGAATGCAGCCACGCGGTTCCAGGAGCTGGGTTTTATAGTCTCTGAGTCTTGGCCGTTGATGGGATTACACGGCTCCAGGGGGCCAGTTGGTGAGTGTGACCCCCACCTACTGGAATTCGGAGGATCTGGGTGGAGGATGCTCAGTCCCGATCCGAGTAGGCTTGGAGATCTCAGCCCCGGGACCCGCTTGCCTTTGTTCCTCTGCCGGTACCTTCTTGTGTGCGGAGAGTGGTCTCAGCATGGTGGTGGCTGGTTCTGGAGGTCTTTGGCTGCCGGAGCCCTGGTCGGGGCGGGGAGGAAAGCTCAACCTGCTCCCCTTCAAGGGGCCCTGGGGAGGACAGCCAGGAGCGGGGGCAGGAGACTGCGCTGTTCTCTTCCGGGAGCTGGGTTTTATAGTCTCTGAGTCTTGGCTGTTGATGGGATTACACGGAGCCAGGGGGCCAGTTGGTGGGTGTGACCCCCGCCTACTGGAATTCGGTGAACTCAGTGGACCATATATGGTGTTAGGGATCGAACCTGGGTAGGCCACATGCAAGGAAAACGCCCTACCTACTGTACTATCTCTCCAACTCCTAGATCTTTAATTTTTTTTTTAACATAAGCATTTATCTCTATCAACTTCCTCTCAGAACAGGTATTTTGGGTTGTTTTTTTGTTTGTTTTGTTTCTTCACACCAACATTATCCAACAGACTACTTCTGACTTAGTTCTTAGAATGATTCTGCATGGTGCTCAGGAGATAATATGAGATGTTGGGGATCAAATTCAGGTTTCCTGCATGGAAGTCTTGCAACCCAACCTGATTATCAATCTTTTTTTTTTTCAGAACTGCTTTTGCAGTATAGTCTTTATTGTACTGTTTCTATTTTCATTTCATTTAAGGTATTTTTTTAATTTCCCTTTTTATTTTTTTTAATCATTCAAGGAATAGGTTGTTTCGTTTCCCTATGGTTATAAATTTTCTAGCTTTCCTCTTCCTGTTAAGCTCATACCATTTGAGTAATAAGAGATAGTTGTTAGGATGTTAGTCTTCTTGAATTTGCAAAGACTTGTTTCTTGGCTCTTTTATTTATTGTTTATTGGTTCTGGGTAATGTTCCATGTGTGCACATGAAAAGAATATATTCTGGAGCTATTGGGTACAATGTTCAAAGGCCTCCTATATCACCTGTTTCACAATCTCTGTGCAAGGGACCCCTGGGAGGGTCTGCAGCCTCCAGACTCAGATAATCTTCAGAGGATTCTTCTGATTTGGGTCTGAGGTGTGGGGTGGGAGGGTAACTCTTCAGTAGGGTTCATGTACAACCCATGTAGTTACAGAACCATAGAAAGTAAGATGTCCTTTCAATCTCCCTATTCCTTTCACCAATTACCGTAAAATAACTATTGTCTCTTCTATCATCTAAGCACCTAAGGCTTAAAGGAAATTAGTGCTCTAAAGACACATACGTTTTACAAAGAAAGTTAAACATCTATGATTCAACTCCAGGAAGAATGCCTGTGGTACTTTTGTAATATTTATGTCTTTGGGGACTATTTAAGTTCTAAGGAAATATAAAAAAAATTTTTTTGTAACTGAAATGGATATAATGAGTTTTGTGACTTTTTAATTTGTTTACATTTTTTCTTTTCTTCTAATTCAGGGTCCTGTCCATATATCTGCTTAGTTGTCACTACATCTAGAACAACAGGAGGACCACCATAAGATCTTTACATCTAAAACCTAAACATGCATTTTGCTTATATTTTGAAAGGTGGAAGTGTCCAAATTTGAAGCTTTGGAGGAAGTTAGTGCTGAGTTGAAGCTCAAACAGTTGCTCTGGGACTCTTTAGCTGAATGGGATCAATACCAGCAGGAATGGTTACAGGTAAAATAATAATAATGTAAAGATCTCAATTCTGAAATAAGTTTGTATTTGTTAAATTTAAAATTCCAGTAATATTAATTATAATTTAAGATTCTGGTGCATAACTAATTTCAGTAAAATATACAATGTTATCATTTTATAGGCATTATTAATTCTCCAGAGACTCACACAGAGGTGTTTTTATCATTACGTATGTGCCACTGAAAAAAAGGCAGGCTTCTCTCATGTCCTTAATTCGAGAAATAGTGCAACGGGTTGGGCACTTGCCTTGTATGTGGCTGACTCAGGTTCAATCCTTGGCACCCCATGAGCTCTCCCAAGCTCTGCCAGCAGTGATCCCTGAGCAGGAATAAGCCTGTTCAGGGGTCCAGGAGTAAGTCCTTACACCAGGAGTAAACCCTGAGCACCCCTGGGTTACCCCAAAAACCAAAAAGGGAGAAAAAAGCTAAATGAAGGAAACATTAAAGCACCTCACTACATGATATGTAACTGCTTTTATGGTTTCTAAGCTATTGTCATGCAATCCTCAAGTAATCTTAAGAACTATGAAATTTTATTTGTGATCTTAACTACTTTAAATTTCTGTTAGTTTAGTTTTGGTTCTTGTCATTATTTAAAAAACATTTAATTACTGTGGTAAAAACAGAATCAGGGTAATAAGTTATATTATCTTCCCTTGAGATCTCAGAGGATATTCTTCAAGTTTGGAGTTCAATTGCAAAGGCCACCATGGGGTCTGGTTTCTAGGTTCTAACTTATAATGAAGCCTCAAGCAGGGTTAAGCCTCTGAAATGCAGAATGTAGATGACCATCTAGATGTTCAGATGAGATGTGGATATGCTAGAGACATTGCAAACTTCACAAATAAATTTTGTCCATATTCATCCAGCCTGTGCTGATACCTGTAACTTGCCGTTGTATATTTAGGCTGAACATCAGCAACACAGAAAAGAGTTTTCATGATAAAGTTAGCAGTGCTAAGGGATATTAGTGAAAAATAAGAACAAAATTAAAATTCTCACAAAACTTACTTTGTGGTGGGGGGAAGTAATATAAAAATAGATATCTTACCATTTAGCAAGTCATTTTTAAAGAACTCCCATCCAACTCATGTATCACTTATCTTAAAAGTTATAAAATTTTCCCAGTGAGTAATGATAATCCTTAAAAATTTCTCTGATTATCACTGTAGTGATACAATTCTTTATACCACCCTGATTAGTGGTTTGCAAAGTAGGATGAATTTACTGTAGGAAAGGTACCGAAAGATCCATCAGGAAGAAGGAAAAACTAAAATGTTGAATCTAGAGCAAAAGGAAAATCAAGATTTAAAATTTTTCCTTTGCTTTCAGTTTATATGACCTTCTGATATTTTAGTATATGTGTATACATTTATATATATATAACCATAATATAGATATGTGCATTTATTAGGTAAACCTTTAAATCACATATATTAAAAGGTACACAATAAATAGTAGACCACTGGGTGTGAAGTTTTCAGTTAGCAAGAGTAAGAAAGTAGCTAATTTTCTTTTTACAGAGGTTGACACCCCTCAGCAATAAATTAAAGAGTTTTTAATATTACATCTGATGATGTAGGAAACAAGAACATGAAAACAATCCAAAAGATGCCTGAGATGCTATTTTCAAATTTAACAAGTAAAGATTTTTTTCAAAAGTGTAGAGTTGACTTAGATTAGCAATTTGACTACTGGGAAAAATGGAATCAAGTAAAATTTTACTATTTCAAGCTTGCCTTTTAACATGTCTTCTCTTTTTTTCCTACTAATTTTCACAGTCCAGATTTGACTGCCTGGATCCAGAGCAACTAAACTCTATAGTTACTAAATACGCCAAATTTGTGACTCAGTTAGAAAAAGGCTTGCCACCCAACAGTGTCGTGCCACAGTTGAAAAGCAGGGTGGAAAAAATGAAAGAAAAAGTAAGTTATATGGAAATAATTTCAAATTTTTCAAGTCAGTTAGTGACTACTTTATGTTCATGAGACTACAGTCAGAAACTCAGGAATTCTCTGTTTTGATTTCTACTGGAAAGACAGAATAGACTTATTCAGTTGTTAATGTTGGCTAGATCTTTAACTAGCCAACTCATGCAATTTTTTGGCTAGAAGGACATTTGGTGAAAGTTTCCCAGATGGCAGGGGGCGTACTATGGAAATGGGCTGCAGTATGCGAAGGAACTTATTAATTTGGTCATTAAGTAGTCAAAGGAAAGTATGGTAATCATAATTGTGTATACCACTACAACAAATAAAGGCTTGCATCTTTTAGATGTGCCATGATATGACAAAAGCTAGGAAATCCAGCAGCAGATGCATCAGACTAAACCACTGAAACCTACCATTGCCCAGGAATTAAAACCATTGCCTTGCACCCTGCTGACACCAGGTCAATCACAGCACCAGAGTATCCTCAGCACACCAGGAGTCATCCCTGAGAGTAGAGGCCAAAGAAATCCCTGAGTACCACCAGCTGTGGCTCAAAAGACAAAACAAAACAACCCAACCTCTCACTGCCAAAACAGAACTTGAAATGGGAAGTAAAGGAGATATTATGTTACCCTTTAAAGCAGGTTCATGCTTTTTAAAAATATGAGACTAACATCATGGATAGAAAAGTAAGCAAGACTTCAGGAACAAGAAGAAAACTTTCCACCTTAAGTGTTTAATGCAGTTTTCCCACACTGGCCTTAACAGAATCTAGTCAAAACACTCAAAGTTACATCAATTTATCCTTTCTCCTTTACTGTGCTTATGTGATACTGTTTAAATTAGTTTGTCACATTCTGCATTCCATTTTTTGTATTACTTCAAAAATAGGAGGGGAGGGTGTTTCCATCTAAACACTAGAAGATTTTTTTACTGTTTTTTATTAAAGCACCATGGCTTGCAAAGTTATTCATAGTTGAGTTTTAGACTTTTAATATCCAGCACTGATCCCACCACCTGTATCAACTTCCCTCCACCAATGTTCCCAGGTTCTCTCGAACATTCCCCACCCCACCTCCAGCCAGCCTTCTTGACAGGCACCTTTCTAAGTTTGTTTGTTAAAGATTATCACTTATATCACTTAACTTAATATCACTTAACTTCCCGTTAGTCGTCGATTTGCTCGAGCGGGCGCCAGTAACGTCTCCATTTGTCCCTGTCGCGTGCTAGTGTAGCCCAATGGCATCTGTTCGCTCCGGGAACATGAAGGGCCTCAAACCGATCGTTCATGATCTTGACGAAGAAGTCTGACCATCTGGTAGGTGGGCGGCCACGCGGTCTCTTGACATCCCGTGGAATCCAATCAGTAACAGCTCTAGTCCAACGGTCGTCTTTAAATCTCATTACATGACCAGCCCATCTGATTTTCGACACCTTGGCATATGAGACAGCGTCCCTGATCCTTGATCGTCGACGGATGTCAGAACTCCGGATTCGTTCTCTCATTTGAGTGAAACGTGATATTCCAAGCATAGCTCTTTCTATTCTTCTTTGGGAGACCTGAATGGCGTTCTCATCTTGTTTGCGTAGGGCCCAGGTCTCTGAGGCATATGTTAATGCAGGAAGAACAGTGGAATCAAAGAGATGTGCCCGGAGCCGGAGGTTCTTCGTCCTCTTAGCTATTTCTTCGACGTTCTTGAAGGCGTTCCAAGCTGCTCTCTTCCTCCTGCGCAACTCGGGTGCCAGGTCATTTCTCATGCTGACCTCTCGACCTAGGTACACATAGCTGTTGCATTCGGAGATGGTTGTTCCATTGAGAGCGAATGGGGCGTCAGGAACAAGGCTGTTTCTCATAAACATTGTCTTCGTAAGATTCAGCTGTAGTCCTACCTTTCCACACTCATGGTCAAAGTCGGCCAGCATTTGTGCCGCTTGGCTGATGTTTGGTGTTATTAAAACAATGTCATCAGCAAAGCGGAGGTGGTGTAGTTGCCGACCATCTATCTTCACTCCCATTCCTTCCCATTCCAGTCGTCGCATGATGTTCTCGAGGGTGGCACTGAAGAGTTTCGGTGAAATGGTATCACCCTGCCGCACCCCTCTCTTGACATCAACGATCACTTCTTTGTAGAATGGTGAGATCCTGGTAGTGAATCCGCAATACAGCTCACGGAGGATCCTGATGTATTGGGCTTGAATGCCCTGATTGGCTAGGGCTTCAATGACCGCTTCCGTCTCAACAGAATCAAAGGCCTTCTTTAAATCAATGAACGTTAAGCAGAGCGGCATCTTGAACTCCCGAGAAACCTCAATGAGCTTGGTTACCGTGTGGATATGGTCGATGGTGCTGAATCCTTTGCGGAACCCTGCTTGCTCGCATGGTTGTCCTTCATCTAGTGTTCTGCCAATCCTATTCAGGATGACTCGAGTGAACAGCTTGTAGATGACAGACAATAGGCAGATCGGGCGATAGTTGCCAATGTCATGGATGTCTCCCTTCTTGAAGAGTAGTACGGTCCTGCTGGTTTTCCATTGGGACGGAACCTTGCATTCAGACAGGTAGCGAGTGAAGAGCCGAGCCAGTGTATTGATGAGTACTGACGGCAGGTTCTTCAGGTGTTCAGGTCTGACCTTGTCTGGGCCAGGTGCTGTTTGCTTCTTTGCCAATGAAATGGCGTGTCGGATTTCGGAAGGGAGAACGTTAGGAACGACATACCCATCCTGTGGAATTTGGTATGTCGGTAAGTGGACATGGCTATCGAAGAGATTTGAGTAGAAGTCATGGATAATCTTCTCCATTGCCGTTCTGGAGGATGTGATGGATCCATCAGGATGTCGGAGGGCAGTCATCTTGGTCTTATAGTTGGCGAAGGACAGGCGGGCGCTACGAATACTTTTCCCGGCTTCTGCCGCATCTACCAGTACTTCTGCTCTTCTCTCTTTGAGGTCTTCCTTGATCGCATCTCTGCACTGCTTTGCAAGCTCGGACGTTAGCTTGCGGTTGCCTGAGGCATGCGCCAAACCACGCTGGCGAATTAGCTCAAGAGTTTTCGAAGATAGGCGACTTTTTGTGGCTATCTCTCTCTTGGCGTTCCTCGCACATTCATGGAGGTGCTGAACCAGTCGATCGTATTCCTTGTCAATGTTGTCAACAATGGCATCTTCCCATGTTGCCGCAATAGTACCAAAGAGTTCCCAGTTGGTGGTCATTCTGGGAGTTCTCTTTTTGAACTTTGCAGCCCTTTCTCCCCGCTCTGTGAAGTAGAATTTTGCACGAAGGAGAAGGTGGTCCGATCCCGTTCGAAATTTTGGGACAACAGCGACATCAGTCAGGCAAAACCGTGGATTGAATATGATGTGGTCTATTTCGTTGTGGAGTCGTCCACCGGGAGACTCCCATGTCCATCGTTTAGATTCTGCCTTCTGGAACTGTGAGTTACCATGAATGGTCTTGGTCGACATGATGAACTCAGACAGTCTCTCACCCTGTTCGTTCCATTCTAGGCCATGGGTCCCGATGTGAAGTTCTTCAGCTGATCTTCTCGGTCCTATCTTGGCATTAAAATCACCCACAATGATCTTGTAGAAGGTGTGGTCTTCTTTATAGAACTTCTCTAGCTCCATGTAGAACTTCTCGATTTCTCTTTCATCATAATGAGATGTTGGTGCGTAGACAACGAAGATAGAAACTGCAGGCAGTGAGCCACATCTATTCAAATGTAAACGTCCGATTCGGGTTGTTAGGCATTCGAATGAATCAATGCTCTTGGCCAAGTTTGTGTTGACAAGGACACCGACGCCTCCAACACCTCTTTTATCGCATGTTCTGAGGAACAATTCTTCTCCGGTGTCGAAAACGGCATGGTGAGATTCGTGCCTTCTTGTCTCGGTCAGACCAATGATGTCGTACTTGGATCATTCGCGCTTGTACCATCAGGTCCTCGATGGATGCATCTGATGCTAGCGTACGTGCATTGAAAGTACAGATGATCATTTTTGTCTTCCTTCGTTGTGGCAGCCTAGGTCGGCCTTGAGATTTTGTCGGCCTCTCCTTTCTCATCCTTCTCAGTGCTGCCATGTCGGTGAAGCCTTCAGGGTCAGGTGAATGAGACCAGTTGTAGTTACTGGTTTTGGCATATCGAATACACAGCGGATAGCTTGCCAGGCTCTTCCGTGCGGGCGGAATACTCTCGGTAGCTTGCCAGTCTTTCCGAGAGGGATAGAGGCTTTTGGGGTGACCTCTAATCACCCTTGTAGGTGTTACCATATTTGAACCCTATCAAATATGGTACGACAATTCCAGAAGATGGGTATTTAGTGTATTATGATGTGTTGCGCGGCCGCTTGCGGCCGCGCTGGTCCGGAAAGCGTCCTGGAGTGTGGCGACGGCTGGGTAGTGGAAGTAGTGTCGAGAGTGGAAATCTGCCAGTGGGGTATTTATCTGGGTAGGGTGGGTCTCCTGTGCACAATTCGATCCCTGGGTGGTTGATGGACACTACTTCCACTACCCAGCCGTCGCCACACTCCAGGACGCTTTCCGGACCCGCGCGGCAGCTCCGGCCGAGACCCACGCACAACTGAAGACCCACAGAACAAGATAAGTGGAACTCTCTGAGACCTTGGACTCCAGGCTCGGCGGACCCAGGGACAGAGCTTCTCTGCTTGCTCCCACCACCACAGCCGTCGCCACACTCCAGGACGCTTTCCGGACCCGCGCGGCAGCTCCGGCCGAGACCCACGCACAACTGAAGACCCACAGAACAAGATAAGTGGAACTCTCTGAGACCTTGGACTCCAGGCTCGGCGGACCCAGGGACAGAGCTTCTCTGCTTGCTCCCACCACCACAGGTGACAAAGGGATTCTAATCAGGAGCCCCACCCTACCCTGCCCTGTCTGTTAAAGATTGAGTTTCTGGATTTCAGTGTTGTTTGGATATTTGACTGTATTATTCCTTAACACAGCCAATGTACTTGAATCCTATGACCTGCCCCCA